AGAAAGGGGGCTTGATGGGCTTGTACCTCTGATTGCATTAAATAAAACGCTACCTGTCAGTAGCAAACCACGTGGAAAAGCCAGACTTTAAATGCCGTCATATTTGTGGCCCCTTTGAAATGGTGCTTTGGCACTGTTTATCAGGGCTCAGATTGGGAACATGCAAGGAGGCAGATGAATTGAAGGAATTGGAAGTCCCACAAACATCGCTTGTAGTTTGGAACTGATTTTAGAAAGCATCCAAGCTAAATAGGCACTGAACGTAGTGGCGTAGGAAGGAATCCCCCCTGTCCTACTTTAGAGATGTAACTTTGGGGCCTTCCAGCCATCTCCTTTTCTAATTCCAACGCTGGTTTAAGTTTGAAAATGCAGGTAGGTTTTACTAGGAAAGCTCAGAAGGGCACCATGCTTTGTGGTGCCCATAACCTTCTGAGCTTCGAGGCATCCAAGAAAGGATGAGAAGTGTACTGAGAGTTGGATCGACTCTGAATCCCCTTCATCCTTGAAAACAGTTGGATGGCTGGTTTTCCCCTCCTTGTGAGGAGGAGAGGCAGAGGAACGGCCCAGGTTCTTGGCAGAAGGGTGGTGTCTCTGTTTGCCCACCTCTTTCAGGTCTGGAGACAAGCTTCTGACTTCTGTGCCATGGCAAGGGAGCAAGAGCTACCCTGGTTTAATGGGAGGGGGGAGGCCCCCTTGAAGAAGAGGGTCCCTGCAGTGATCTTGGAGGGCCTTCAAAGTCACAGCAGGAAACCCGCCAAACCGTAGGACTGCACCTTAAGTATTTGAGTTTCACCACTTCTCCACAATGTAAAACTATCAAGATTTTAATTTTAAAAATATGGAATGGGAATCCCTTTCCCCAGCAGGGTTTCTTTGCTTCAGTATAAAATGTTCCAGACACATAATTGGTTGCAATTTGGCACCTGAAAAAGGTACAATATTTTCATACTATGCAAGTGTCCAAAATTGGGAAAAATGCTGGCTTTGTGTGTATAAAGTTTCTCTCACAGTCCAGCTCCAAACTACACACATGTTGTATTCTGGAAGCACTTTCAACATATGGACTCACATCTCCAAAGAAATCAATTTGGCATTCTGAGTACTGGAAATTAAAGGTGATTAAGATATTGTCCAGTCCATTCACTCTATTGAATGCCGGTGCTGAAGCAGCAACGAAGATGAAACGATAACAACATGCTGTGAAACAAAGCCTTTATTTGCAAGATCCTAAAAATTCATTTCAGTTCACATATTGACCGATTTATGGTACTAGCTTTGCAAAAGACTCCTCGCCTTAAACTAGAGTTGGCTGGACATTCAGGATTCAAGACTGAAAGTTAATGCAAAGCTCCCAAAATTTCTTTGAATCTTCTAAATTTTACACAAATTTTCCCCATCGGCTAAAGTGAGGCTGATTTGATTTATTGAAGAAATGTATCCAAATTAGGAAATTGGCAGAGCTTGAATTTGGTATTGGGAATGAGATATCTGACTCTTTGCAAACAATTTTGGAGGATGCATTTTTGCCTGTATTGATAGACCATGCTTTAAAGGGTCTTTTAAGCCCAAAACAACCTTCTCTTGCATCCCTAGTTTAAAAGGGATTTAGACGAGGAGGAGGAGGAGGGGGCTTGCTCATTCTCTATGACTTCTATGCTTTTTTCTTTCTTTACAGTGGTCATGAGGAGAGTGGAAGTTTTTGCTTCTGTCATCAGCTAAATGTAGTATAATGTTACGTTCAATCCAAACAAATTATGGTCAGTGTTAACCATGATTTGTCTGAACAAGCCAATTTCAAACCATGGATAGTCATCCTAGCTTGTTTGAATGAACTATAGTTTACATGAGTCACTGTTCTGTGTTCATGTGTAATAACAAACTAGTTAGATTGAAAATGGAAGCAAACCCTTCTGATCTTTGCCTTTCATTGTGCTGGATGAGGAGAAGAGTATACAAATAAACCCGAGGCTCATTTGAATAATGCTAAGCTATGCTTTGCTGTTACTTTTAAACCTAGGGATTATGCCATCAAATACTATATATTGGGGCATACAATGAGCAAGACTAGATTGCTCAACATGCATATAGCTTCTCAGAGGCAACTGACTGGCAGTTATGGGATACAGGAATGGGCCACAGTTCTGATGCAGCAGGTTTGTTCTTCTGTTGCATAGATGACATCAGGAACAGGTTATTCCAATGCAAATTCTTCCTTGATACACCAAAGGCCTAGTTAGTCAAGCTTTCTATCTCTGATGGTACCCAACCATGCATCTCTGGAACCTCCCAAGACAGGAATGATGGAAAGGAAGGCAACTATTTCTATTGAATTATCTCCACCATCTGGTGGTCACAGGAAGTGCTTTTTTTGTTATAGAACGCACCGGAACAGAGTTTCAGCACCTTTTTTCAACAGATTTTCCAAGTTTTAAAAGTAACTTTTGAAAATTTGATGTTTGGTCCACATGGATTTGAATCGCCCTGTCGAGCATAGCAGGTTGGCGGCAAAATCATTAAAATGGTGCATGCGGGCTGCTTGTGTGTCGAATCTGATGCATGTGTACTTCGTCCACACTGGTTGTGATGGCACTGCTCGGCTTGTGATTGGTCGTGTGGTCGTGTGTGGAGCTTACTGCGGGTGGCAACCATTATGTTTCGTTACACAACTGATGTGTGGGTGTGTGTACAGTGATTGACTACGCATGAAAGGTAAATAATTTCATGAGTTCCGGCACCTTTTTTCTTACAAAAAAAGCATTGGTCACAGGTACACTACTGTTGCATTCCGTTCCCTGGATAGCAAAGTTTTATTGGAGAAGTGGTCCATGGCGATTGGTCTCAGAAGGATTCTGGCTTAGGAAGCATCACAATCTTCCCGAGGACTGGTTAGAGAGAGGAGATTTTAATTGGGACCAGAGAAAAACTGTGGACATTGAAGAGGCTTGCCACCCGTTTGGGGCTGGTTTTTAAGATCTCCTGAACCTGGCTGATGGGAACAGCATGGACATATGTTGTCCACGCATTTAAATAGGCTCATTTTCTATTGGTGGTTTAATAATGAGGAAGTACTGGCAAGCCTCACTTAAGCTGGTCATTTGTGATGAATATCAAATGAGACTTTGACAAACATGCTCATTTTCATGTAGCGATCCAGTGTTTTTGCAATTACGTTATTGACCACTGACTCTCTGCCAGCATTTTTATTTAATTTCTGTGCCTTTGATTTAAACAAAAATAACCAAAGACGTATATTAGGAACTATTAAAATATAATCAAAATAAAAGCTTTAATAGACATATTCCATATGAAAAAATAGTATTTTAAGTCCAGACAAAGAAAAGGCTTGCCAAGCCGATCTGTACTGCAGGTGTTCAAATTAAATCAAACCAAGGATAAGAAGCAATTCACTGGCTGTAAGTCATTATCCAAGGACATTTAGCATCCCCCCCTCATCTTTTAACAAATGTGGACCTTAAAGTTGGAAAATTAGAATATATGGCTGCTTGTGCTAGCAATACTCTGCTCTCCCTGCACCAGTGGCAAAGATGCTTCCCCAGTGGGAAAGACACTTCAACTCAAATTCTTACCGTGAAAAGATGCTTCTAAAGATACATAAAATCACTCAAAGATTTTTGTTAGTCTGCTTTCTCAAATGAGCTTTCTGCTTTCTGACTCCCACCTCCTGGACTAGTTTGAGGGTCAGTTACCCTTCAAAATTTGCACATCTTTAAGATCTGAGATGTTTCTCCTTTGCAATATACCAACTCTTGAGTGGAGCTGGTTCTAAATTCCATAAAGACTCAAGCAGAGATGTTCATTGCTTATAAATGGAAAGTAATAGGAATTGCTCAGTTGTTCACAATGGTGTAGGACTGCCTTCCCAAATTGGTGGTCTGCTGAATGCTTTGAACTTCAACTCCAATCAGTCACAGCCAACAAGGCCATTGCTCACAGATGGTGGGAGCTCTCGTCTAAGACACTTGGAGGACAACAGGCTGGGAAAGGCTGAGACAGGTTTTCAGCTTGGGAGAAGTCCACTTATTGATGCACAAATCCAAGCATTTTAAAGTGCTAAAAAGGGGGATAACAAATTTAGAAATGAAATGGTACCTGAAGATCCTTGAGAGCACTGAGAGAGAGAAAATTGGCTTGCCGAGAGCCGACACGTTTTGTGCTCCATGGCAGCTCTTGATGCCATTCTGCTTGATTTTTACAGTGTGGGGAATATGTGCATTTTATGTAAAACTATTGTAAAAAGAGAAGGCAAATACATTTAGAAATGCATATTTTGTGAGTAAATACATTCAAAAGGACTGTCTAAGATGAAGTCCAAACTTGGAAGGTGCAGCTGAAGGGCAGGAGACATGCAAGTGAGTGGCAGGTTATCAGGACCATGGACAGATCACACGGCAGGAAGCAGTGTCTTGGGAGGGCTCCTCCTGGTCCGAAGATGCGATGGGGATACCTGGAAGAGGGCTTCTCAGCGGACAGTGAAACAGCTCCATCTCTGTAGAAAACCTCAGCCTACAACTGAACGGCCACACTCTGTCCCTGGGTAGCCAGTCGCCACTTCTTGGTGCGGCCATGGAGGCACTTCCGGAGTGAGACAGGCAGTCTCTCCAGCAGGAAACGATTCCAGAGACTGGTGATGGATTGCATGGGATTGCATGATTGGAAGCCGCCCCAAGGCTCATGCGATGGGGTGGCATATAAGTTGTTTAAATAAAATAAATTCCTGAAGGCAATTCTTCTTGGGCTGTGGAATTTGCAAAATACTCTCTGAGGCAGTGGCATCCCTGCAGAAGTCCTCTGTACAAGTCTTGGACCCTGTGACCTTCCTGGGATCCTTCTCTGAAGAGCAGCCTTGCAAATCAGTGAACCTTCTGATCCCTAAATGTTTTCTTTTTGATTTTGCTTATCTTGTTCAGAAGATTCTCCTGTTGCAAACATTACATTACTTTGCCTTCTGTAGAATGGCCTTTACTTCTCTCTCCTCACAGCTTTGCGGAGTCGATCAGGTCGGTCTATTATCAACGGGAACTGGGCAATCGACCGACCTGGGAGATATGAAGGTGGAGGAACCTTGTTCACCTACAAACGCCCCAACGAAATCTCAAGCACCGCTGGAGAATCCTTTTTAGCCGATGGGCCAACCAACGAAATCTTGGATGTCTATGTAAGCAGCAAACTTTAGATGTATTAATATTCCTGCTAACCGCAGAGGTCTTCTGTGCTCATTAATGCAAACAAACCTTCACCCCTAATAATTAGGAGCATGCAGATCACTTTGAAATGGAGTGCGTGTGCATGCACGGAGAGAATCATAGTCAGAAATAAATTCTCCTGAACTCAGGCAGGATGATTATTGATCCATTTTCTCTCTTGCATGTAGTTCCCGGTCATCATCTTATCTGATTCTCAGCAATCTTCTGAGGTTTGGATGGAGGTCAACCACCCAGTGGGGCAAGAGGGATGGTGGGACAGAGCTGAGAACATTGTGGGTGGTGAAGGTCTGAAGGCTTCATGTGTGGGAGGGGGGAGTGTGGAGTTCAGTCCCAATGAAAAGGGAGAGCTGAGCTCTACAAGCACTGAAGTCGTAGAGTGAGTCCAGAAGCAGAGGTCTCTGTGATATCTCCTGCCCATTTGCTTGCAGTAGAAAGAAAATCGGACACAGTAATGCTTGTTGACACACACTGCCGATACAGCTTGCTCATTTGGCTTTTCCCTGACTTAGATGATTCATCAGCAGCCCAACCCGGGCATCCATTACGAGTATATCATCCCAGGACCCAACGTCATTAGCCCTCAGGTCCCACTGCACAGACGGCCAGGTAAGACAGAGCATTTCTCAAAGCTTTGCCTTCTGGAGCTTCCTCAAGCGAACACTGTAAGCACAGACAGTTCTTGAGATCACAAGAAATTTGTTCCACCGAGTTTTGCTTGTTTCTTTGTTTTTTAGGTTCTGCGGTTCTCACCTCCTGGGACTTTAAGGTGGCTACAACAGAGCTGCATTCTAAAAAAAAATTTATTTTGCTTTCTAGTGCAACTTACCTTGGGAAAGATCTGCTGAAAATGTGGATGTGTGTGGGTATTAAAGAGTGCTCACAAACCAGAAATTTAGCAATAAAAAGCACTTAGGAAAAATGACTTGATTGCAAAATGCACACAGAAAAGCAAATGTGAATGACTTATGGAAATGCATGCGGATTTCTATCTGGGTTTTGTGTTCAAGGGTTGTGGGCAATTGGGAATTTTAGCTCGATCTTGACGAAAATGATGATCTCAGGCTGAGATTGACAAAGTTGTGTATCTTTTAGTATTTCTGATATGGACTGTACCACGCTGAGTTGCAAATCACACTCTTCTTAAAGCAAGGAAACCCTGTTGATGTATGAGAACTGCATTTCTGCTGCAAATCATCAAAACCTGTCCTGTTCGCAGCCTCACATGTGAATGCAGACAACAGCATGGCTTTCAAAACATGCTTGCAGATGTTCACAGATTCTCGAGCTTGCCATTGTGTTTAAGAAAAATGCTCACTTTTTAAAGTGCTTTCATAAAAATCACATTTTCATGTCAATGGGGGGACAGTGTGTACCATTTTTTTAAAAAAAGAAGTGCATAGAAACGGGCACTCTTCCTGTTTCAAATGTGCACATTTCAAAACGAAAAAAATAGGTTGCGAATGAAAGCAGGGGGTGAAGTGAGGCTGAAATGGTGCTTCTCAGAGAGCGAGAGAATGCCTTGTTCCCTCAATGCTGGTATTGTCTGGATGATTTTTCTTGTCCTTCCCCGACGTCTGAGTCTAGTGATGTCTAGTCCTTCCTATGACGGTCCCACAAGCCTTGAACTGAATGAAGAATGGCCTTCCTATGTGTAAACAGACTTCAAAATTTTCCAGGCAAGGGAGTCTGAATTGCTGCTCTGTGCAGTTATGTGAGTGTTAAAAGAAAGCTCCTGAATTTTCTACTGGTTGAGAAATGGAGTGTCTTGCTTGAACAGAATCGTATGGCCTTTGGATGTAGGATCGACTTTGCCTTTGGCTGCGAAGGATCATTTCTGAGCTTGCATAAACTGCCCGAGCCCATCATGGGGATTCAGTCGCACCACATGCAGACAGACCGGTTGCTGAGAAAAATGCTCGTGAGGTTAATTCATGGTTGTCTCTCTCTGCCCAGGAGAGCCGTTCAACGGCCAGTTGGATGTGACGGAGAGGGTGAGTTATGAGGAGGAGTCGCAACACGGGGAGACAGGCGCTCCCGTTGGGCAGCCCATGGGAGTCTTCCCAGTGATCCAGCCCGGAAGATTTCCCTCCCATCAGCCAGACAACCAGGTGCCTGTCGGCCAGCCTCCGAGACGCAGCCGAGAGCACAATTGGAAGCGGATTGGTACAACGGAGTGCACCGTCACGTGCGGGAAAGGTGGGCAATGCAGAGAACGCCTGCAGCTGACACATATATTCCACCCTGGGGAATCGCGGCCTGCCTGAGGCAAAGCACGGAGCAGAGATGAATGGCGTACCTGGAGCGTATTTGTCTCTAACAGAAAGGCGTAGCCAGAATCTAGTGGGAGCAACGGCACTGAAGAAAAATATCAATTAAGGGGGGATTATTCATTGGACACCTCTGTTAAGGGGGGACTTATTCATTTAGGCAGCAATGACTTTTGAAAGGGCAATGGAGGGAAACAGGTTGGCGTCCTTCCCAGTGGTGCACTGCAAATGCAAGGACCCTGGTGCTGCACCTTCGGGTGCGTATGCTGGCATCAACCCTGGCATTGCCAGCTAAGCAGAGCTTGGATATTAGGGCGTTGGTGATATATGAGGGGGGGCCCAAAAGAAGCCGGCATCGTTCTCTGGTGGGCGAGCCTGTTGTAGCACGAGCTTCCGCCACTAGATGCCTCTTGCACCAGTCTGCCGCCCGGCGGTGTCAAATGACGTCGTGGTGCCATGTAGGAAATTGTTTTGTTAAGCGCCTCTCGCTTTTTCATCGATTTTGTGATGGGTGGGAACAGCCATTTTGTCAAGCGGCTCTTGCGGTGTGATGGCTGAAAACAAAATCGACAAACAAGTGATAGGTGCTAAACAAACAAACAAACAAACGCCTACGTGGTGCCACGACTTCACCTGATGATGCCAGTCAGCAGATGGATGCAGAAGGGTCCCCGGAAGAGGGCATCCAGCAGTGGACGCACGTGCTACAACCAATTCCGGGTTCTTTTGGGTTTCCCCTCGGAGGACCACCTGGGAACTGGGAGAGTATTTTTCAGTACAGGGGAGGGGTGTAACCTGTGGGTCCAGCACGTGTGGTGGCATCAGAAGGGCAAGTTCCGGGTAAGGAGTAGGACAGGCCGAGAAAGGTGGAGTTGCGTGGTTCATGGGAGCAGGCTTAGTCCAGAAAGGCCCAAGCAGGCAACGAAGCCTTTCCTCTCTCACAGCTGGGATGGCAACTACGGTGTCCTGCATTGGCCATCTCCCCTCCCCAAACGCCCCAGGCGCAGTATCATTCCTGGGCATTTGGGAGCAAATACTGCCACCCTTCGCACAAAACCAGGGCGAATTCCACAGGCTCCTCTTCAGATGTGAGCCAGCCACGATCTGTTAAGTACATTTCGCTCAGCCCTAGTTCATTCTGAATCCTGTGATTTATAGGACCTATTTTTGAAAAGAGGTTTTTTCCCCTCCATATTGGGGCAGAGGAAAGCGCTGGTGGGGAACTCTTCCTGCAGTGCATGTTGGCTCTCCTCCCTTTCCTTTGCACTCCATTTATGTTGGCAGAGCATTTGAGTCTTCAGCACAGGCACCATGGCTGGGAGCGCTCGCCGTGGGTAGTCAGGGCAGGGCTGGGACCCCCCATGCCAAGCTCTGCCTGCCAAGCATAACATGTTGTGCTCTCGAGTGCAGGTGGCCAGGGGAATTTAGCTGGGGCTCACACGGGCTGAGCTCCCCCATGCCCGCCTCTGCCCAGCTCGCGGCCGCAGGGTCCCACTTCCAACAAGAATATAGGTAGCTGCAAAAACGCGATTGAGTTTCAACCTGCCTGCTCCCTTTTCAGCAGCCGCAGCACAATGGGAACGAGACGCTGACAAATGCTGAGCACGGCCCCTTGCCAGAAGTGACATATTTCCTGCAAATTCTACCAGGAGAAGAATAATGGCCCTACAAGAGAAATTATTGTAAATTAGCATGTGTGATGCTGAAAACTTTCCCGGTTGAATACACCGCTGAATGCATTCTATTCGATTTTGGCAGAAGCTTGCCTTTTCATTTCCTTTAGGAGCAAGTCTGCGCTTTTCTACATTGCACGTCAAACAGCCGTTAGTAGTAATCGGCAAGAGAGTGGTAGCTTTTAGGTTTCTTCTTCCATCTTCACTGTGACTTAAATAACTTTGCTGTGTTTTTTCTGCAAAGATTAATTTAACACACACACGCATACCCCTTCAGACTGTACCGCTTTGCTTCCCTTAGTGGAAGGTGTCAAGGATCTCAGACCGGAGACTTTCGCTTTGATGTCTTTTCCTACTGTGGCAACTTCTTGGACCGAACCAAGAAGGCGCATCACAATTTTATACACAGACACACTCTGCTGATGCCTTATTCAGAGTGCACAGTGGCAAATGATGCCAGGGGTATTTGAGGGGAAAACAAGAAGGAGCTCTTCTTCTAAGGCTCACTGAGGCCTGGAAATCTTGCCCCAAGTTTTGCAAGATGGGGATCTGTTCTCTGACGCAGGATGATTGGTAGGCACATCTTGACAACTCAGGAAAGGTTCTCACCGTTGTGGAAACTGTGTGGGTATACTGAGATTCAGTTCAAATGTGTTTGTTTTAGTCATGGGCCACAACAAAGGGGCAGTACGAATACAGGAGTGGGGGAGGAAGGCGGGAGAGAGAGATAAAACAAGAGAGAGACGGGCAGCTGGAGAAGGAGAAGCGTCTTTGGATCAACAAATCCATCTGTATTCAGTCCATCCCATTTCCACATTATTTTGCATTTTATATGACAGAAACCAAATTATTTTTGTGTGCAGTATCCCAAACACATGCAAATATACAAATAAACACAATTTTGTAGTTAACTTCCTCCAACATGCAATTTGTTTGGAAATATGGAACCATGGAGTGCATCGGAAAACTCACAGAAGTGCGGAATCCAAAGAGCAGCAGGGGCCCACTCTTAGTACAGGAAGTAGGTGATGAAATGAATGATGCATGCTGATAATCAGTGCAACACAATATTTTCAACTTTAAGCCGCTGGCTGTGCCCATGTGAGCCCGATAAGCGGACCTGGGCCAGTTGGAGCCTTCTAGAAGTTTTGGCGTCCCATAATGCATCACCATGTGCTTGTCCATGCTGATGTGAGTTGTCGACCACAACATCTGGAGAGCTACCAGTTGCCCAGCTCTGTCAAGGAACAGCTGCACATCTGTCCGTCAATAAATAAAATTCATCCGCCATTCAGCAGATGTTTCACCGTGTTTTAACCTCCAGGAGTGCAGTATCCGATCTTCCGGTGTGTGAACAGGAATTCCCATGAGGAGGTCTCCGAGAGTTACTGTGATGCCGGTACCAGGCCCACCCCGGAGGACGAGCCTTGCAACATCTTTCCTTGCCCAGCCTTGTAAGAATACAAAGATGAGGGAGGCGAGAGCAATGTGTGCATAGAATTGAATTAAGACCCCGCTTTCTTTAGTTCTCCCTGTTGCGAAGAGTGCGCATTGGTCGGACTGAGCATTGTCTCCAACATGTCCTCGTAACAACCCTGGCAGGGGCATGTTTGGAATTGAAGAAGTTTTCCCCTCTGAGCATGCCTAAGCTTGTGCCTCAAATAAATCAGAAGTGAAATATTTATGTGTTTGTTTACTGCACTTCTAAACCACCAAATAAGCAAAGTTCTTTGGTGTGTTTATAAAATGTTGGAAACCTAAATCACAAGCATTGCAAAAAGTAGATGCAAATAGAGGCCACGGCCCAGCCGCACCGTCCTGCTGGCGCTGGTACTTCTGAACCGCACGCGAGAGGAGAGCGCAATCAAAGCTCCTTCGGCTTGAGCACGGTTGTGCAAGAAGTTGCACGCCCCTTTGTGCACTTGATTGTTCATTATGTTTGTGCAACTGCTCCATCATGCTTGCCCAGCCCCTCTTGCAAGCAGTTGCATGTTTGTTTGTTTATTTATTTATTTGACACATTTATATGCTGCCCCATTCGCAGAAGCCTCGGGGCGGCTTCCAAAACAAATAACTATACATTTACATTTACATTCAAAATCTGGAAACATCCCGGCATAGAAAAAATTCAATAAATACAGTCAACAATTAAAATATTGTTTAAATAAAAAGGTCTTGGCCTGGCGCCGAAAAGCAAATAACGACGGCGCCAGGCGGACTTCCCTGGGGAGCGCATACCATAGATGGGGCGCCACTGCAGAGAAGGCCCTCCTCCAGGTGCTCACCCTCCGGATGTCCTTCACGGAGGGCTCCTGGAGAAGGGCCTCTGCTGCCGATCTCAGGCGGCAGGAGGGCAGATATGGACGCAAGCGCTCCTTTAGATAACGTGCGACCCATTGCTCGAGAAGTGCATGGCGATTCGCCCAAGAGAAGGAGTTGGCAGAGCCCACACTTCTTGTGTTTGTGGGATGACACCGTTTGCCACTGCGCAGAATGTCCCTTGGGTGAAAGGTGGCACATTCCAAAAAGAAATCACCCCGTTTCTTCTCCCCTGCCCTGTTCTCTTTTAGTTGGGATATCGGGGAGTGGTCCGAATGCAGCAAAACCTGCGGCCTCGGAATGCAGCACCGCCAAGTCTTGTGCCGCCAGATCTACGCCAACCGCACCCTCACGATCCAACCCCACCGCTGCCACCGCCTGGAGAAACCGGAGACCACAAGTACGTGCCAGCTGAAGATCTGCAGCGAATGGCAAATTCGGACAGAATGGACATCGGTAAACAGGAATGACGCACACCTGTAGGGAAAGGTGTAGAGACTCGCCAGGTGACCTCTCCTTCCTTTGTGATGGAGAGCTCTTAATGCTACTGTGGAGTGGAGGGGGTGGAGAAGCTGCAAGCACCCCCCGTTGCAAGATTGGGGTGCCCGTCCCCACAGCGTCACCCCACATGTTGGGGTGGCATGCGTCAGGACAGCTTTTGATACCAGGGGCGGCTCTCCAGCCTGTGCCCTTCCGGGACATCAGAGCTGCTTTTTCCAGTCACTGCTCTCCCCACCGGGCATCCTGGAGCACCTAAATAATTTAAGACGGCACACAATTGAACGGAAGGCTAGGAGTGGCAGCGGTGTCATGGTGTCTCCAATAATCCCTGGGCACAGAATGTGATTCCCTCTCTTTCCCCCCAGCAATAGTGCTGCCAGGCCCCAGCTGTGGCCTGGCGCTCTTGTGCACATGTGCTCCAAAGATCTCTGTCCTTGTGGTTGTTGTTGTTGTAGTGCTCTGTGCCGTGTGGAGTTGGTCAGAGGACTCGCGACGTAAAGTGCGTCAGCAACCTTGGAGACGTTGTCGATGACGAGGAGTGCAACATGAAGCTCCGGCCGAACGACATAGAGAACTGCGACATGGGCCCCTGTGCCAAAAGCTGGTTTCTCACGGAATGGAGTGAGCGGGTAAGGGTGGCTGTGGTGGCCTTCACCTTGCTGGGTTGAATTCTTGAGGTTCCTCCATTGTTGAGCTTGCAATGGGATCTGTGGATCGCAAACACTACAAGAAATGTTCTTTGGAAAAAGTGTGCACAATTTGGTTTGACCAGTACGGTGAAATATGTACATTTCAAAAATGTGCACAAGAGATATTAGGTTTGGGGATAAGCACATGAAAAGATACACAGATATTCATGTTGAAAGAAGTAAAAAGTCTCCGAGGCTTGTAATCTGATAAGTCACAAGTGGGAATGAGCTTCAAGGTGGAATTCTAAGAACCATGGTGAGTTCACTTTTTGCTGATTTACACTCCCATAATTGCTATTAACAATACCAGTAACACCTTCCCTGCCCCCCCCCCCCAAGACCCTTAAATATCAACATGAGCTCTGGGGGCTTAGTAAGTCATGCTTCAAATGCTCCCAACTGCTAGAGAAGATTTCTTAGTGATCCCAGAAAATTTTATTTCTTCTCAAAACTAAGGCAACTAAATCGAGTCATTTCTGAGTTAATCTGAGGCTGGTGGAAGGGTACCATCTTCACTAATTTGTGAGCGATTCCAGAAAGTTAAAAAAAGAAAAAACTTTTCTGCAAGCCCAGGGAATCTACGTGACTCAGAACAAGCTGAACTGCAGAATTCATGGGTTGTATTCAGAGGAATCCAGACTCTTTGGGCACATTATAGTTTTCTCCAACTTTCAGAGCTGCGAGAGCTAATTTATAATTGTGAAGTATTTTTCTGTTTGTTTACTTTCCTTCACATGGGGATGAATGTCTCTTTTGAAATTTATTGGAGTGATAATTCATGGGCACAGAAGGAAAAGAATTATCCTCCAAGTCAGTGAAATATAAATAAATGCAGTAAAGCATTCTGGATTGAAGCCAGCCTGGGTGTAAATCTGCCCACTTGAATATCCAGATTAGCTGCGGGTTGAATTTTCTTTCGCCCTCCCTCCAAATGTGCCATTTGTTCCCACACAGGTTTAAAAAATATGACTTCATTTTTGCTTTTACCCCAGAGAATATCATTCAAACATTTTTGCTGTATGCCCGACGGACATATTGTGAATTTTGAATAGAGGTTTTGAGAATTTCATTGCAGGTATTTATTTATGTTGGAGACAAGAGTCCAAAGATGAAGTGGCTTTGTGTGTGGGTGGATGGAGGGGGGGATCCATTTTTATGCTGTTTCTGCTTCATCTCAGGAGCGAAAAACAGTGGGGGTGTCACCACTTCTTATTAATGATTTACAAGCCTTTGCCACTGTGTTAGGTGCGTTTTGCTAGCTTTCCTCCCGTGATTACATTGGAGGTTTGAACTTTAAAAGGGCTTCCTTTAAAAATAAGCAAACCAGCAAAAAGGACAATATTCTTTTCCCCCAAAGGAAGAACAATGGAACATTTTCCAAGAGGTGACCTTGGAATGATATGATCACCTATGATTTGAGATGTTTGTTCTGGTCAAGACTCCCAGCCGCCCTTTGCTTCCACTGCCGTTTCTCTTAGGGAGATGGGGTGCCATAGGAACTCTGCAGAAATTTACTGTTGACATTGCCACGTAGGGTCCATTCTAGACAGCTTCAGGTTCCTCTTCTGGTCCCTGTGAAAGATGAGTCTGCTCCCTCATCTCCCACCCCCTCAACATCACGCTGACAAATGTCACCTGAGAACTTTCAGCTCAGCAGTCATTAGAATCATGCCTCCTGGTGCAGAACAGGATCCCTGACGCCCTGCTGTGCAACATCGCTTTTTGATTTCCTCCTCAAAACATTCTGCACAACGCTAGCTGCTGGTTCAGCCCAAAGCTCATGTTTTAGGAACCCTAACCTGAACCTTAAGGGACTCCCCCTCCAGTGAGACAACATGTATCTCATAAGTAGCAGGTATCTCAGTTGATCTCGTGCTCTGGTGGAGAACCCGAGGGATGTTCTAAGTTCCTGCAGAGGGACCCAGCCTTTACAATCCTGAGCCCTAAACATGAAGCTTAACCCAACCATTCCTCTGGCCTTCAATCCCTTTCAATCCAGAAGGCATTCCCCTGGCAGCACCTGGGAGGGTCTAGCTGACCTCTCCTTTTTTGCCCATTCTAAGCTGTCTCTGGATCGCTTGAAATGCACAAAGACCCAGATTTAACTGGAAGCTCAACCCTAAGTGTAACACTCAGGTAAAATTCCTTTACATCTAGGCATCATGCCCACCTGCAGCACTGGGCACATCTTGCTTGTCTGCTCGTTCGCTTGCAAGTCAAGTCGGCTTGTCTTGAGTCTCTGGCCAGATCATTTCACAAGTATATAGCCTGATTTTTGCCCCTTCCACGATGGACCTCTTTGATTTAATTTTAAAAAATATATGGTGGGAGGAAGCCCAAGGATCCAAAGCACATCCTGATTGAATTCTGCTGAGGAATTCTTTGCAAAGCCTAACTCTATTGCACAATGCAAGAGAGTAGGTGGGACAAGCTTGTATCTTCTTCTTTCACATAGTATTTGAAACTTGATCTGTATGCTAAGCTCGTTTATAGCTATTTAAAACAGAACACAGCTGAATTTCTGAAGTACCTTCCCGAGAAATCTTGTTCCCAACAGAGATGAACAACTCAGCAGAACTCGAGTTAATTGATGTTCTCTGATTTCCTCTTCAAAGCTCAGTCTGACTCATTTCTGTACCAGGTTGTGATCGTTGTTTCACACCAAAATTCATCCATATTTTTCTGTGCATTTCCCCTCAATTCCATGCATTGTTTGTCAAATGTGTGCGTTTTGAAATTTTGCCTTGCACTAAGTGTTTAGAAGAACATTTCTTCAAGAGTGTGTGTTGAATGTATTTTGCTCACTAAAATCACTCAACAAGCTGGAAATGTATGAACCTCTCACTGCAAATTGAATTCAGGACTGTCTTCAGCTCCACAAGGTGCAAACTGAATAAATCCTACTAATAGAAGGACTAAAATGAATGTATTATACATCCCTAGCTCCCAATCCTTGTTTCTCTTGGAGAAGGAAAAAAGACACATTTGCGCTGCCAATGGACATTACTTGGAAAGCCAAAAGTTAGCAGCAACGAGCCTGAAAATGTTGGATTGGCGCCACTACATTGGAGGAGAGGGGTTAACTTTTTCTGCTGTATTATTTCCCACCTTAAACTGCGCTCATGTAAAATCACACATGCTTTTTGCCTGCTCCCCACAGTGCAGTTAATACCCACCAGGGGAACTTTTTGGCCAGGGACTGTGGCAAATGCAAACTGCATCCCCCCACCGCCCAGCTACTTGCAGACATAGAAAAAGAGACTGGGGATTCCATTCGTGGACTTCAACTCCTTATGCAGGGTAGCTAGATCTCATTTGTGTGTGGTCCCTCCATGTGATGAACCACAGAACTGGTGTAGTAGGGCATTTCCCAGGCAATAACCTCAGACTCTCCACTCAAGCTGACCTTGAGGAGCATAGGAACATGCCACAGGCTGAGCTAGGTGCTTGGTCTATCACAAGCTTCTTCCTTTTCCCTCCCTAGAAGGTCAAAGTGAAAGCCTTCTAAAATCCAGAGCTCTATTGGGCTAGGCTGGTTCTGCAGTACAGAATGGGTGATGATAATGCTGTTAACAAGTATATCTATCAACGTAGTGATCCTTCTGGTTGGTGGAGTTACCCATGTCAGGAGACAATTCCAAACTGTCCCCCAAAAAAGTCTGGATCCACCCTCAGGAAGGTTCATGCTCTATATGGGCCAGACACAGAGACAGTGGGCATTACATAATTGGACCTCTTATTTGCCTTGATGATGGACCATAGGGTTAAGGACCTCACACCTTCCCCCTCTGATCTTTGTTGTCCTAGAGTGTTTCTACCCAAACAAGAGGTGTTCTGGTTGTCAGCAGCTGCTTGGCTAACCTTGCTCAGTCACCTTGGTCTTTCAGTAACGTATGGCAACCCCTCCTGCTCTTTTTCTAGCTCAGCTTCAGAGTCTGAGATTTCCAGCTTGGAGTGCTGCATTTTGAGAGAAGAGGCTCCAATCCCTGCATGATCCATTTAGCCCGGTATTGTCAACCCTGATCAGCAGTGGCTCTCCAGCATTAGGAAGAATTACTTCCTACCAATACCTGGAGGTGCTAAGAATCAAGGCGGCAACCTTCTGTATGGAAAGCAGATGCTTTTCCACTGAGCTGCGCCTCTTCCATTGGACAGGCATCCTGTCTGGCATAAGGACCTGGTCGTTCTGCTTCGGGTGCCATCCCTGTGCTCTCTCAGACATTATACTTTTTGGCTCTGTCTCCTGAATTTACCCTCCATTGTGACTTCTTGCCTTCTCGTGGACACTGACTCTTGCTTTTCTCTTAGCAATGACATCTGGGCAATCTTTTCACTCCAATTCCTGCTGGTTCCTCATTTCCAACATCCAATTGCTTGCCCTTTCTGAATTCCCACATTCCTCCCTGGCTTTGAACTCCTGGTTTTTGGTCCCTGGCTCTTTGCACCTGTTGGACACCTGCTTACAGCTCACTCCTGAGGCATAATCCATGTTTAGCATCATCTGGTGCCATCCTGTTGCTTTGGATTACAACTCCAAGCATTCTTGCATACTGGTCATGCTAGCAATGCCTGATGGTAGTTGAAGTCCAAAATACCTGGAAGGTAGCACTGCCCAAGAAATCCTCAGCCTCGGGCAAGATTCAAACCCAGACCTGGTTCCATACTTTATTGCTTCCCAGAATTATTGCTAACTCCCCACTACCAGTAAAAGAAAATAGTATTCAGCACAGAGCCATCCATTCATCTCCCAGGAATGTTCCATATTTTTTGCAACATTACATAGCTACTAATGAAATTATATATACACACACACACACACACACACGCACGCACATAGCGAGAGAGAGAGAGAGTTACAAAATGCCAAATATGGTGCATGTTTCATACCATGTAACAAATGCTTATTTGTGGCTTTCTTTCCATGTGAAATATAATATAACTGCTTGTAACTGTATAAATTCAATTATGCATACATCTTTCAGCAGTCAGCACATGGTTTTTCTTTATTTTTAATAATCCCCCTTCCCCCCACCACAAAAAAAAAAAATCAAATGCAGCTTTGCTCTCCACCCCTCTCCTTCGGAGGTGGTGAGGGGACAAAAGAGCGGGGAAAGAAATGAAAGGAGAAAATGTCGAAAAGAGCACAAATGCAATGCCAGATTAACCCGTTCTTATGGGGTGGGGGAGGGTAAAGGGTTGGCCACGGATCAAAACACTTTGGGGTATTGAAATGTGAGGAACTTTTAAGAAGCGCCATTTCCTTCCACCCCGTGTAAAGGAGAGGGCCAGCCACAGGGACGGTTCCACCCACTGCTCTTGGTGAGATCCATGAGCGCTTCACATCCAACGCGTCGCTGGCAGCGGTGTTTTCAGGAAGTGCTCCAGGGAAGCGCGCTCCGGCACGCGTGGGTGAAGGCTCACGGAGCGCTGGAGGGGCCAGGTTTACCTCCGCTCTCGTCAAGTAACCAGGGATGTGGAGTGTGAGTGCTACGTCCGAGCCAACATTTCTCAGAAGACAGTTTCCTGAGAAATATTTGGTGGTCTTGGCCACCCCTCCCCAAGCTGTTTTCCAGAGCAAAGCTCAGTGGAATGATGGAAGATGCAAAGGAGTGACCAGCCGCCAGCAGGGTCCCTACTGAAGTACCTACAACAACGACATACTGTGGGGTGGATGAATAAAGCCACTGGCCACCTCCTCTGCTAATGAAGAGCCCCACCTGAAAAAAATCAGTGGAATGTTCTTCCCACTTTCCAGGACCACAAAAAGGCTGATGAATCTGGGGAGTCCGTTTCCACTTAGTGCTAATTATGACCACTTTGGTTTGACCAAATGAGGCAGCCAACCGTCTCAGCATGGGGCTTCCATGGCACAACCTCAAAGAGATGCTTAGACTTACCAGTGATGCTTTGCCCCCAGATGTGAGCATCCTTGCGAGTCTTCGTTTCGCCTCCTCAACACATGTCTTTGTTTCACAGAGAACAGAGCCAGTGTGGTGTTGTGGTGAAGAGCATGGGACTGGGACTCAGGCGATCCGGGTTCTAGTTCCCACTCAGCCATGGAGCCAACTGGGTGACTTTGGGCCAGTCACAGCCTCTCAGCCCAACCTACATCACAGGGTTGCTGTTGTGGGGATAAGATGGAGGAGGAGATGTAAGCTGCCTTGAGCCCTTGTAGGAAAAAGGCAGGATATAAATCAGAAAAAAAAAAACCTCCCTTGAAACCCCCTTATGTTTCCCCCCTCTTTCTAATTTTTTTTTAAATGAAAAAAGAAAAAGTACTAAGGGGAAACAATCAATTATGCAAATCCTAGAACACGTGTCTCAAAGTTCCTTCATCGCATCTCCTTTCATGATTGGAAATAGTGACCTTCCAAACTATGGGATGTGCCTTTGCCACTCTTTCTGTTCCGCATAGTTCTAACGATGGCTAATGATTGCACCTGGGGTCTCTCGTCATGACAGTGCTCGGCAGAATGCGGTGCTGGCGTCCGCACGCGGTCCGTTATCTGTATGACCAACCACATCAGCAGTTTGCCACTGGAGGGCTGCGGACACAACAGACCACCGGAGACAACCCCCTGCAACAACGGGCCGTGCCTGGGGAAAGTCGAGTGGTTTGCTGGAAGCTGGACCCAGGTAATTTCCACTAATTTATTTATTCATTCCAAATATTTATCTCCTGATTTGTTTTTCGGCGCCAGGTGAAGATCTTTTTATTTAAGCGGCATTTTAAATGTTAATATTGTTGAATTTTATCTGGCCAGGGCGGCTTATTTTATATTGTATGTTTGTATTTTATTCTAATGTTTACATTTTAATTTATGATTATTATTATTTAATTTATTGTTGTAAGCCGCCCCGAGGCTTCGGCGAATGGGGCGGCGTAAAAATGTTTTAATAAATAAATAATAAATAAATTGTCAGCTGGGAGGAGTCCCAGTGTAGGTTTCAGGCGAATAAAAAGAGCACAGCCCTTCCCTTCAGGCTTGTGGGCTAAAAAGACACGGCACAGGAGGAAAAGCAAAGGGCAGCCAAGGAAATAACATGTCGGGGCCATCTCTTAATTCTGATAAGAAGAGGCTGTAATGTCTGTAATGCGGCGGGAAGTTCTTGGTCTTCTAGGCTGGAGTGGAAACAGAAGTCTTGCTTTCTGCCTCCCCTTCAGCAAACCCTGAAGGAAAGGCGACTCGATGGTAGTCAGGGCAGATCTGTTGCTCCTCAGTGCAGCAGACACCAGTCCAACTTCCCTTCCCACTTCCTGCTTCGTTGTACCTCGAGAAAAGCTGGAGAAAGTCTGAGCAAAACAAAGCCCTGCAAAGTACCTTTGGTAGCTTCAGTCTGCAATAGTATGGACACTCCTCTAGGAATAACTCCTACTGGAATCAGAGAGACCTCTTGAGAAAGCACTCATTGGATGGTGCTGGAAAGCTATCCCATTGAAATCAATGGGGCTTAAAGTGCTTACCACTGGTTGAAACTGGGCACGTCCGTTGCATACATTGGCAGAACGTCCTGTCCCTTTTCCCACCAATACAAACAGGATTTGGGTGGGTAATTGTCACATTCCAGAGAACTTGGGCTTATTTTTTTTCCTGAAGAATTATCCTTTGTTTGCTTCATCTGTTTTCAATGTCTTTTTTCTACTTGAGTGTTTTCATTACCAGGACAAAGCACATGGTGATTGAAAGGATATTGCTTTGTTCCTCTACACAGTTGTATTTTTCCTGCCTAAGATTGTGCAACTAGCAAAGATTAATGGGGAGAAAACAATGATAAACTATAATCGGGGATCTGATTGTCCAAATTAAGAATGGGTGAAGAACTCACTTTGGTTTCTTGGTATGCTATTGCATTTGGTGGTTTGGTTTCTTGTTTAATAGATGTACACCTCCAGGAAAGAACCAAGCTAGAATTGCATTCTGAAATCTGTATTTTTGTGATTTTTCCCAGGAAGAATGTACATAAAAATGCCCATATTAGGAAGAAGCATGCCCTGAGTAAACATAAGTGCATGTGTATAAAAAAAATGTGGACCAATTGAATGCAGTGATGCATTTTTCACAAAAGCACAGAACAGGAATCTCTGTGTGGATTTTTGAGAGAATGAGCTTGCCCTAAAAATATGACAATATCAGTGTGCTTGAGATAGGCAGATCCAACTAACCTCACAAGTGACTGTCCTTCTGTTTGCTTTGATTCATTCTTGGGTCTGAGCTTCCAGGTCCCCAGTCCGAAAAGAACCCTGTTCATTTCAAGCCACACTGCAAACCAACTCTGAACCAATCAGATCCTATCGAGGAACACCCTCCAAAGCGTCCTGCACATGAGCAATAAAAGATAAAATAGATAGAAAAACCTAATCCATAGAAACCATGACTGTTCCATCAAAGAACTCTTCCTGAAATATGCATCTTGTGAGCAGGTGCTGGACCAGGACAAGGTCTTCCTGACCTCCAGAGGCAGGGAATTCCACAGATGTGGAACTGCTACCTCCAAAACTTCTCCAGGTAGATTCTGGTTGGGCCAAATGTCCATGTGAAACCATCAGGAACATGTCCTGCAGTGGTCACAGTGACCAGGAGAGTTGGCAAAGAGACAGTGTTCACTCCATACTCTTTCTCTAACTAATGGGCTTGTTTGACGGAGTCCACCCCATACAGAGCTCTCTTGCGTTAGGCTGCACTTCTGCCAGTGTTCACCCAATCATTTTCAGGTGCCCTCAGAAGTTTTGGCTCCAGCGCATCACCTCTTGCTCTGTTCTCACTCTGTGCCTGGCAGGCTCAGCTCGGGGCTTTGGGGATGCCCCCTAGGCTGCAGTGCCAGCCAGCTTTTGCAGAACATCAGCTGACCTCAAGGAACCCCCCTTGCCCTACTGGATGCTATAAAGCATTGGCCTCAGAACTTTTCTTCTTCTAGGACAATGCCTAAACATCTGCTGAACTTTCCTGGTTGCTGTCTTGGATCTTGTGCCTTATTTGGGTTTGAGCATCACCTTCGCAGCGGTGCCATGTTCCCAACTGTTCTGGCCCACTCAGCAGCTTCTTCGCCACATCTGCTGTCCATCTCCCTCGTTAGTACAACCAGACACTTGCTGAGACCCTAGAAGAGCTCAGAACAAGGAGCAAGTCAACTCTAGGAGCTCTCCTAGCAGTGACCCAATCAGCAGGATGCCAGGAGTAAAGTACATCAGCTGGAAAGTCAAGAAGCATGATATAGAATAAAGCCATTCTGTTTTTTAGATACAACAAGACTGGCTTTGGAAGTGAGACCCTGCTAGTCGCAAGTATATCTGGCTTTTTCACAACAATGCATTCTTCTCCTTTCACTAAACTTTCAACATTACTTTCCGTTCAAGTTGAAAAGCACAGTTCCCCATGGTGCAGGAATTTTGGACGCAGTCAAGCGGCATCTGAAGAGTAGCCTCCCATTTTGTACAGACTCTTTAGCAACTTCTTGGGGCCAGAAGGGCTGCTTGTCCCAATGCCCTGATCAGCTATTTGAGGTGAACCTGTTGGCTGAGCTCCTAGTTCCTCTGCAGTGCAATGCACAGGACTGGAAGAGACATGGAGATTTTTTCTGAGCTCGTTCTGGTTGAGGAACAAATAGAGTTCTAGCTTGTGCCATGTCCAAAGAACACAAGAAGAGCCTAGTGAAGGCCCCCTCAGTGCTGCAAGGGTTGGGAGGGTGTGACCTTCCAGATGTTGCTGGAGGATAACTCCCATCACCACAGACCGTTGGTTCTGCTTTCTAGGACTGATCAAAGACCAGCAATTTCTCAAGGACCACATGTGGCCCTCCCCAGCATTGGATTGTACACTTTCAGTACCCCAGTTATCCAGCATTTTCAATATCATGGAGATCTTCCATGGACATAGAAGGCCTTCACCTTCAGGGAGTCACAGGGCAATGAAAATGCAAGCAAGGGGGCAACGATAGTGCGGTCCCTTCCACACACACTTGCAACACACAGAAACAGAATACCTAAGTAGGACCAATAGTAAAATATGCCCTGGTTTGAGGCTCACTTTGACGTGTGAATTGACACATTTCTTACCCATGCTGAGAAAGGAGAGTTCCTAAATTAAGGAAATATTGGAGTCAAAGATCACGCCAGTTCTGTTCTTTGGTCCAAGAACTATTGCCACAAATGCTCACAGGTTGCATTTGTTGTATTCTGTGAAATGTTCTTTATCAGCCAAAAAAATGTTGGTTTAGCTGAGGATGATGAGAGTCAATTTGTTGACCTGGGGACTTGGGAGATCAATGTTTCCATCCCCATTCCACCATGACGTTCACTAGGTGACATGGAGCTTTTCACTGACTCTTAGTCTAACCTACCCTAAAGGATTCTTTGATGGATAAAACAGGGTGGCTGTCACAAGCTGGGTCCCTTCCCTTTACTCATTCAAACCACAGACCTTTGCAAAAAAAAATCTTTATTTATGAAAGTGTTTTCCAGAAGCACAAACAATCGGAATGAATCTCTGAGCTTGCTCAGAGTGTTTCATTGAACCCAGTCTAGTATTTAATGCTAGAAACATTCCTTTTGAGTATGTTTGAGCCCTATCCTTGTGGGAGGGGCCTTTTGGAAATGAGCACGCCTCCTTTCTGTACACCGTTCCTCTAACTGGGCAGCCCTCCTCTGCTGATGGTGCATCCTGGGGTTCAGAGCTGTGCCCACCTCGGCTGCCTCTGAGAAACTCCCCTGTTCCAAGCCCATTCCTGATATCTGGGAAGGAGCCGGGCCTGGAGATTGGAGTGTACACATTCAGTACCCCGGTCATCCAGCATTTTCAATGTCATGGAGGACCTTCATGGATACAGAGGACCTTCATCTTCAGGGACAAGTGCCTCCACTTCTTTTATCCCAATGTCTGGAACTGGCCCACAATGAGGACCTCCTCCTCCAATTCCCAGTCAGAATGCAACTGACTTTCTCACCCCCAACAGTGGGGGATTATTTAAGCCCCCTTGATTTCCTTGTAGAATAAAGGTAGTAAGTAATTAAGTGCTTTGGGAAAAAAGGCACGTATTCCTAGACTTCAACCATTGCAACTGAGATCAGTCATTGTCCAAGACCTTTGCAAGAATATTGGGCAAATACATTTTCACCGGATATTTTCCCCCTCTAGTCAGTGCAATGATTGGACTGTGTGCCTGCCCTGTCCAAATAAAAAATTACTGTCTGCTGCTCTTCACGATGGAGAAGCTTTCACTGGAATCAGGGTTTCTTCCAGCACGGGAAGAGTCCTCTTCCTCTGATTTTGATGAAGCAAAGCTCTCTCTCATTATCATAATCAACCGCTGATGTGGCTGATCATGCCAATTAACCAAATGCCTTTGATAAAACAAATGATAGAACTTGTTGGGCTTCGTGTCTTCTGCACTAGAATGGTGCCTCTTTACTGCCCCCATCCTCAAAGCGTTTTGTCAGGAAAGAGATCTAAATTAGATTAGTGATGAGTTATACAAACAAAAGCAACTCACGGCAATAAAAATGCTGGCTGAGAATTTCACTGAAATCCCAAACTATGAAATCATAATGAAATACAGCAATTCCACCTCCCACTTCCCTATACGCACAAGAAAAAAAATATAGACACAATTTGGACCCCCCTCCCTAAATATTTAAAAAT